CCGAGATGAGCTAGATAAATAAAGTTATTGCCTTCGTAAGAGAGTATGATTGCAGCCGAAAGTAATGATGTAGTTTAATTTTGGATTAGCCTTTATTTGCAAAATATCCGAACTATTTCATTTTACATTGTTATACTATAATCATTTGAGATATAATTAATTTATATTAATTTCAATAATTTTATATTCGTAATGATCTAATTTAAGTTATTTTATTTATTCTTAAGTTTTTTTTTTAAAGTTAATTAGATATTAATCAATACAAAAATGATGATTATTAAGTTTTAACTTGGTTATATTATTCAGGGGTTCTAGGGGGCCATAATGGATGGACGACTAGCATTGTTTATGCTCATGTTTGATGGTAAATTAAGTGTGGATGAGAAATTTGTGCCGACATATACTCGGGGTAAAAACCGGCCTTTGCAAGTGTCTATAAATACAAAATTAGAGCAGCTTAAGCTTAGAGTGCTTAAAGCATTGAAGGTTGATGCATCCAGGTATACAATCAACATAGTTTGTCGTTTTCCAGTTGGGAATGATTTCATTGCAACACATGTTGATGATGATGAAGTATGTGATATTGTTATATCTCATGCTATTGGAGTATGTCTTATTCTATATGTTGAAGTAGAAGAGATAAGTTTTGGAAACAGTACGGATGAAAATCTGACATCCCAATTTCGAGAATCATTTAGTTTCGATCATGAGGTGGAGATGCCTGGTGGTGGTCCCATGCACTCGGTAGAGGAATACTTCAATGTTCGGTAAGTTGCACATTACAAGTTATTTTAATTAGCTTAGTCTTCTTAGATTGTGTATTGGATTTTAACTAATCAATGGGAGTCTGATGCAGAGATGGCCAAAATCAACGTGAACCAAATGTTCCAAGTTCGCCGCAACCATCTTGTGCAAATATGTCGGGAGGTACTTGGTGTAGAGTTACCATGCCGGTTGTCGATGAAGGTTATGAGGCAATGGATAGTGGATCAGGCAAGCAGGATTGTGATAGTGCTGATGAATTAACGCCAAATCGTAATGAGGTGAATGTTGGCGATCATGATGGCATTCGTGATCTTATACAAAATTATTGCTATGTGACTGCAAATGCTAAAATTTCATAATATAATAAATTAGACAATGTTATATATTTTTAAATGAATATTCAATTACTTAGTTATTTGTTATTTGTTCAAGTTTATAGTTCAGTCAAGTATAGTGCTTGAACGAGGACATCATCTTGTGGACTATTTGGATCAAGATAGATGGAAAAGTTCTCACTTGAGTAATAAACTCGATCAACTGAGGAAAATAAAGAAGATTGCAAAGAAGATACACCGGGAAAGAAGATCAGAGAATTACTTGGTTTTGTGAGATCCATTAATGTTCATGATTGCACAAAGAGATAAATATCCTCTAATTAAAACACGAGATATTATAATGTTTTCACATCCAAAATATTTACAGTGTTACTAGCTTTTCTTCTCTCTTATTAATGCTTCCTTCTCTCTTGATTTCAGGTAAAACAAAAACTCAAGATGATTTCAAAGCTTTCATTAGCATGGAAACATAAAATAGCTGATAAAAAAAACAGTTCTTTATCATATATAATAATGCCATTATTATTTAATAAATTCCTTTTACTTCACTGTTTCTACACCATATGCCTTTACTGTTAAACCACCCAACTTGTACTTATAGTTGATCCAACGTCCTTCAAAATCATCAAATTGTCGGTCATCAAATGCTGGCAAAACTTGAGATAGAGACTACTGAATTGTAAAATAATAGGCGATAATAAATGTTGTATGGTACAATATCAGATCATACTGTGCAATTGTGGTAAAGGAAAAAAAAAACCTCCGGTGCACGCTTAAGATTACCTTTCTTTTTGTTATAGATTTTATTTTATTTTTTTTTTTGAAAAAAATGTTTTTTGGTGTATTTTTAAAAAACAAATAAAATTATTTTTAAACCTTATGAATGAAGTTGTTCGGAAAGCCTCATTTTCCCCTTAATTTATTGTTATTTTGCTTTTTGAAGCATTGCCACGATTTGCTTATATGTAAAATGAATCTTGTGATGTTGATAGAGCTGAAACGCCAATGCAAGCTGTTTTCAAATGTTTGTTAAACTGTAAAAGTGTAGGATATCATCTGTTTTGTAACAATGTTAGCTACTACCTATGATGTTTATTGTAGTTTGCTTTCATTCCTGTAGGATCCTTTCTTTGAGAAAAAAGTTCGAGAAGAAAGTATGTTCTAGCATTTTTAAATGATGTAACAAAATGTTTAAAAATATTTTTCACATATATTTGTCCCACTATTGTTGAAACATTTCAAATTGAATTGCAGTTTGTTTGTCCCCTAAAGATTTGGTTGTTCTTTCATATTTTTTTTCCTGATGTTCATGCTTGTTCTAGAATGCTCAGTTTGAAAGTACCTTTATGCTATAATGTTAATCTCATGTTGTCAGTGCTTATTGGATGTATAGGCTTCTCTTTCTAAATCGTCACTGAACCCCAAGGTTGGGAAATCATCATTTCTCAGTCCCATTCAAAGTAGATCTCCACAATCAGTTGAAAGTCAACGAATGCAAACTTCTCCTAAAAGAGCTATTGGCGCCAGTCCTGAAAAACGTCCTGGAAGTGAATCTGAGGAAGTCCCTTTTGACATCTGTATACCTGCAAATAATATTGCGGTGCAATATTTAAGACCAGGAATGATTTTGCTGAAGAAATTTTTAGGCTGCATGGATCAGGTTAATTTTGTTCCTTTGCTCACTATATTAAAGTTTATGTTGTGTAGAGTAGTATCAAAGACATAAATTAGACCAGGTTCTCGCTTTGAAAGAAAACGTTATTTATCCATAACTTTTACTGAATTAACTTTAGTGTATTTGAAAATTGTACCAAGTTTTTAGGACACTTAAACATTTTTGGTTGTTACGATTTACTATTCTGCTGCTCATTGTTTCCCACTTTTTAGGTAAAAATTGTGAGCAAATGCCGTGAGCTCGGTGTCATTTCTGGTGGTTTTTATTGGCCAGGATACGTGAACGGGGCAAAGGCAAATCTGCAAATGATGTGCCTTGGCAAGGATTGGAATCCTGAATCACGATTATATGATAAATCTCGTTCTTTTCATGGTGCTGTGCCGCCTAAAATCCCAGAAGAACTCAGAAAACTGGTGGATCGAGCACTAAATGCTTATCATGGATTTTTAAGGGCATTTACAAACAAAGTGGAAGAAATTCCAAATATGTCACCAGATATATGTATAGTCAATTTCTACAGCTATAGCGGAAGACTTGGTCTACATCAGGTAAGATTGTTCAGGTTTTTCTTTGTTGAATCATATATATATATAGTCAATTTTTCATTTTTATTTATTTTGTTTTTGGCTAATTTTATTTTAAATGAAAATGTACTCAGTGTATTGTAATGTAGTTTTGAGTAAAATTCCGTGATGAATTGGTTGGTGTAGGGGTTTAATTGCAGAAATTGGGGTGGAAATTTTAATTGATTCCTTCTACAAAAACATCATGGATGCTTTTGACCACTATGAAATTGTGAGTAGGTGAAAATACGACTGACAATTTTAGTTCTAGGGTTCTTTTAAGTAAAAAGGGCCAATTGTCAAAGTGCACGTTTGAGTCTTAGGGTTTTATTGCAAACAATGCATCCCGGTGTTTAGCAATCCTTTATGGAAAATGGAAAGTTTATGTTATTTTTTAAAACAAGTGCTGGTGATTGACCATAAGTGCTGCTGCCCTTTGTATGGTAAAAGAAGAGTGAGGACTTGCATCAACACTCGCCTTGCTATAGTGGAATTGTTTCGAGTAATCGTTTTTGATGTATTTTATCTAGGTAAAGCTAGAAGGGAAGGGAGAGGGAAAAGAAAAAGCTGACAGTGTCTTATCTCCCATTTTTCATTTATTCATGTTGAGTATTATCTGAGATGTTAAAGATATTCTTTGCACATCATTTTAAACAACTTCTATCCATATACAAACCTCCTAATCTATTTTTTAGTCACCTTATCTCTTGAATGACCGTGGGACTCGCCAATCAACCAATTTTGATAGAAATCTGCGAGCACATGGATTACGAGTTGTAACCTCTGAATTGATTCTCTTATGGCCCTTTGATTGGATTCGATAAGCCTTATTTTACTCTTCTACCTTCAGGTCTTACTTTAGAAAAACAATTTCCTCTTCCTATAAATATTTTTGATTCATCTTCATTATAAGATTTTTGGAGAAGTCTATATAAATTGACTCACTTTGTACATAATCAAACAATAAAATTCGAAGTAGTTCTATTTTTTGACTTTTCTACATAGTATCAGAGCAAGGCTAGAGTTTTTTAATACGCCAGGGGGTCCCATCTTGTGGGGTCTAGGGGAGTTAATATTCATTATTTAAGGAGGAGAAATCATGAGAGAAATAATTAGGAAAGCTTATTTAGGGAAAGATGACTAATTTTAATTAGATTTGAGAGAAAATTATGAATACTTTTTTAAGGGAAATGAGCTGATTTGGGGCTGATTAATTAGGAGATATTTCATAATTGAAGAGGGCATATTTGGGGGTTAATTTGGAGGGGGATAATTAGAAACTATTTTCTAATTGAAGAGGGCTGATTTGGGAGCTGATTTAGAGGGGATTGATTAGGAATTGTTTCATAGTTGAAGAAGAGAGAATTGGTTGCTGATGTGGGCTTTCGAAAATTTGTGCCCCGGCCTTCCCGACTTTTGAGGGAGTTTTAACGGATTAATTTTCAGGCTAAATTTTGGGAAGACAAATTGGGTTTGTAGATAAGACACTGCCTAGAGATTTTGCCCTCATTTTTCGAGGCCTTTATGATTTGAGTTCTACTTTCCTATAGGCGTAAGCCTATTGTTAATTAGCCTTCTCGACAATGAGAGAGGACTTATGATTAAGGGTAGTCGTCGATCATATACGTAGAGATACTTGTTATCTGACATATAGTAACATCATGGGTTTGATATTGGAAGTTTAATATTTAAAATAAAAAATTTCACCGATCAAGATCCCATGGTTCTGTCGTTTCGGGTCATCGTGGTCCCTAAAGTACTTAGTTAGAGGAGGTATTCGACCCAACCTGACAAAAGAATCCTTGTCGGAAGCCATGGGTTGGGTCGTCCATGGGTACCTTATAGGCTTGGGGTGAATGTTTGCCTAAGAGGACAAATTTGAATCACCTTAGCTAATAGAGGGCTTTGTGCCCTATCAATTATATCCTATTGATTCATATCTCAAGAATTTTGTGCCATTGGGGAGCATATGAGCTCTGGCCATGACCGTAATTTAGTTGCGCCAATTGGCGACAAACCACTTGGTTCAGAGGGCCTCGGTAATAACCGTTTACCTGCGATGCCATTTGGCGGCAAAATTGTCAGTTAGAGAATATGTGGCACGTTCTTATTGGCAGGAGATGGCTTGAGAATGTATCATAGTGACATTATCGACTAGATACTAGCCCTTTGTGAGCTGATGTGAATTTTCAGACTTATCCACCTCTATAAATTGTTGCAGAGGATGGATAAATTTTGCTTTAAGCGTTTTGGTGATTGATTTCATTTTTTAATATTTGGATTTTTTGGAATCCTTGGAATTTTAAATGTTTAATCGGTATATGGGTGACATTTGAAAGTATAGTGTTTGAAATTAACCCCTTAGGTTGAGATCTACATTCAATATGACCATAATTAGGGCGTATGAGGTCATTTGAAGATATTTGTAGTTTGCAAAAGTTTGAAGACATTTGAAATGTTTGTGAATTAACCCTCCAGTTGAGATCCACATTCAATACAGTCATCATCTGGGTAACTCATGGGGAATTTCATTTGCATTTTTTTTTATTAAACATTGTCGATTCAGTTTGTTGTCAATAGAGGACCGGGTTTAAGCTGGTTGTACACTTTTGTTGATGAATTTTTTTTGTTATAAACCTTGAAGGTCTAACATGAACGTATAAAACAAATATCTCGATTGATATCACGAACATATATTTGTTTGATGGTTCGAGCTTTTGCTCTTCTATCAAAAATATTGTCACAACTCGACCCGATTTGACTTGATATCACACATGTCATACCGTATCCGATTGTGGCAAGATTGGCTCAATGATTTGGTTAGAGAAATACTGAAATAAACTTTCAATTTATATGCTACACAAAGTCTCTATTGAATGCAATATAAAGCAGAAAACTGCTAAATCTCAACATGATTTTTCTATATATCATCCAAAACATATATAATATAAAATTTATCTACAAAAGTGCTTGACAATAGAGAACACAAAAAAATAAATAAAATAAAAGCCAAGCCTTCAAAAATCAAAATTAACCGAAACCTTTCTATTACATAGATCTGAGCATGCTATCCAAACTACTTAAGCTTGCTCCTTGCCCTTTCCCTAGCTCGAAAACAAAAGCAAAAGCAAGAATGAGTTAAAGACGACTCAGTAGACTATCGTAGCATAAAATAGAAATCAATAATCAAAATCAAAAGAACTGAAAATATTGTGCTGAATCATATACTGAAATTAAATACAATTAAATAAATACTGAAATGAATTGAATTAAATAAATACTGAAATGAATTAGACACATCATAACAGAATCCCATCTCAGTAGCCCATTGGCTCCGACATAACAATACTTAGGTAATAAAATCTCACCAACATAACAAAATCCTACTTTGGTCGCCCACTCGCGCTGGCATAATAGAATCCCACCTCGATCTCTAACTGGCGTTGAAATAAAAGAATCCCACCTCAGTCGCCTATTGGCGTCGGCATAACAAAATTCCATCTCGATCGCCCACTGACGCCGCATCACATCATAACTCCTCACAACATATTATTTTCAATACATTGCATTAATTAAAGCATAATTAGGCTCAATTTAGAATTTACCAAAATATCGTAATGGTAGACAATGAAAACACTACTGAGCAAGCTTTCATAATTTCAAAAAATAACCAAATTATCACATATTATGTAAAACATCATTCTAAAGCTTTAATTGATCTGAAATACTATTTTAAAATGTTAAAATAAATTTTTAAGTATGTAAAAATCATTACTTATTCAAAATCACTCGGCGAAAAATTTTCAAATTATACTCCAAATGTTTGTAATCACAATTTCTATAACATATAAAAAGTTACACGGTGAAAGTTTTATCAAAATAAAATTATCATCGTTTTTCGGTAACGAAAATACAAATTTAATCGAGAAAAATATAAAAAACATAAAATTATTAAAATCTGAAATAGGCAAAACGTAACCTACCTCAAGACGAGCAAATTACCCAACTCGGCCGACAGACAAATATTGATCGATGGCTGCCAAAAGCTAAATTCCGTTTGCTCTCTCTTCTTTTTCTTCTCATTTCCCCCAAAAGTTTGTTTGTTAACAAAATAATATATGGAAAAAGAAAAAAAAAGCTTAGGAATTTAATAGGTGGGTTTATATATTTAGGAAGAATAATTATATTTTAATAAATTTTAAGTATAAAATTCAGAGAAATTCTTTTAAAGATTCTAAAAATTATAAAAAATATCCATAAAATAAATTATTTTATTTAGAAAAATCTGGTAAAATTAGTTTGCAAAACGGACATTTGATGGTCCCGAAACCCCTGCTTCTACTGTTAAGTGCCAATTTCTTATGAAATTTCACCTGTATCAATAAATTATGAAAAATTTAGAGAAACTAAAACACAATAATAGAGATGTTATGAAGAAGACGGTTTATGATTTGAGCTTATAACGAATCCTGAATAAATTCTTAATGTTGCAGGTAAAAATGTAATTTTCAAAATTTTGAGTTATAACAATCCACCCATCTTAAAAATATTGTCATTAACGTTCTCAAATCAAAATACATCAGAACAAACTTTGATAGAGCTGTCTCATCTCATATTCTTTCTCCCAAGTACCTCTCTGGTGGTCCTATGCTTCACTACACCTTGACTATCGAAATTTGTTTGCTCCTTAATTTTCTGACACTGTACGCCAAAATCATATCGACTCTTCTCTATAGTATAGACTCGGATGAACCTTCACATCATCAAAATATAATCTCTTTCTAGAATCATATAATCACTTTCTTAGAGAAGATACATGAAATATATTGTGTAAATCAAACATATTATAAGCAGAACTGTCAATCATCACAACAATCTCAAAAGATCCAATGTTGATGTAGAACGGAAAATTGCTTTGCTAGGGAGAAGGAAGAATTTGGAAATTCTCAGATTTTCATCCCAAAATTTGTGAGAATTCTCAGAGTTTTGAGCTTAGGAAATAGGGAGAATAGATGAGGAAATAAGGCTGTAGAATTTTGGTGAATCTCGTGGTAACCTGTGGGGAAATTAACAGCAAATCGAGGTCTTCCACAGTGCTGGACAGCAGGGTATCTTTGCTGGCATACGTGGACAACAAGCTGTATGGCTTAGGAAATCCAAACAGCAGCTATAAGAGAGCGTTGGACAGCAGTATGAGGGTTATGGCAGCAAACTACACTGATTTTCCTTTGCTGGAATTTCCAGGACAGCAGCAATTTTGAAGCTTCAAGTTGCTGGGAAGCAAATAATCCTTGTTGGAAATCTCTGGCTGCAGTATTAGTAGGTAGAAAGTTGACAACTAGGGGGCAGCGGGTAAGAGAGGGGTTGACGGTGGAGCAAAATAGGTTTAGGGAGGTTAATTGAAATCTGAAATTAAATGCAGATTTCAATTAATATGAGATTTAGGAAAAGGAGGGGATTTCTTCCGTTAAAGAGGTGAGCTGTCCACGGGAATAAATTAAGGCTTTTGCTGTTGTAAACTTCGGTTCCTGAGATTGGGGAATATGATTGATTTGTTTCCAAACAGGATTTTTCCTTTTGGAATTAATCAAAATGAGGGGATTTATAAACTAACCTAGGGGTAAAACAGGAAATAACATAAAATAAAAGCTAAACTTCATAAAATAAATCATAAATGACAACATAAATTAGAGCCGTTGATTTACGACGCCTCCTGTGATAGATGCACCAAATCTTCGTGCTGATGTCCGCATCAAATATACCTTGGACTCAACTTATTAATTCTTCCAAATATATTGACCCCTTTCATCGGGCTAACTTTGACATAAATAAAATCATCAGCTTGAAATTCTACCAGCTTGTATTTCTTATCATAATACTTCTTCTGCCTATCTTTTTTCTCTCAATCTTTCTCTAATCAGCTGAATTTTTGTTGTAGTGTCATCCACAAAAGCTGATCTTATCACCTATCTGTCACCTACCTTTGTCAAAGATAAATATGTCATGCACTTTATAAGGAGCCTTACCAATGTTGGACTGATAATTATTATTATATGTAAACTCTATTAGTAGGATATGATCCTCTCAACTGTCTCCAAAGTCCAGAACACAGAGTCTCAAATGATCCTCTAGTACTTGAATAGTCCTTTTAGATTGTTCGTCTGTCTGCGGATAAAAAACTATATTGAAATGCAATTTTGTATCCAATCCTACTGAATGCCTCTCCATAATTTGGAGGTAAACCATCCATCACGATCGAATACAATCACTTTCGCCACATCATGCAATCTTATAATATCTCTGACATATATCTGTGTCAATCTGTGTACCAGATCAGTTTGTTGTATCAGAATAAAATGCGCTGACTTCGTCAAACGATCAATAATAACCTAAATGTCATTAAGCTCGTGCCTCGATCTTGGAAAACCCATAGCAAAGTTCATTGTCACATCTTCCCATTTTCACTCTGGCATAGGTAACGATTATAGAAGACCACCTGATCGCTGATGCTCTACATTCACTAACTGACATGCATGACACTTCGAAACAAACTTTATATCCTTCTTCAATCTAGGCCACTAGAACATACATTTTAAATCTTCGTACATCTTGCTACTACTTGGATGAATAATATAGCCTGAGTAATGTGCCTCATGTAGGATCTCAGCTCTTAGTTCACCAACAGAAGGAACCCATAATATATCCTTATAGAAAATGACTCCATAATCAAATAAAGAGAATTCAGGTCTCTTACCATCCTTAATTTGATTATTCAACTTCGGATACTCTGTATCTGATTTCTGAGATTCTTGAATTCTTTCCTATAGAGTATTATGAATAATAATATATGCTAATAAATGCGTATCTGTATCAGCAGATACCCCCTCTATCTCTAATTTTTCCAAATCTTGAATAAGAAAGTCTATAAAATTAAGCAACGAAAGAGTACCTGAAGACTTCCTACTCAAAGCATCTGCTATCACATTCTCCTTACCAGACTGACACTGAATAGATAAATCATAAGCTTTGATCAATTTTAGCCATCTTGTCTGTCTCAAATTTAGACCCTTCTAATTAAAAATATAATTTAAACTCTAATGGTTGATAAATATCTCGCATATGACTCCGTAAAAGTAATGCATCCAAATCTTTAATAGAAATACAACAATGGCTAACTCAAGATCATGTGTCAGATAGTTCCTCTCATGTTATTTTTATTGCCAAAATGCATAAGCAATCACTCTACCATGTTGAATCAGCATAAATCCTAAACCTCTCAGTGATGCATCACTAATAATCTGGAACCCCTTAATGCCTTAAGGAATAGTCAAAATCAGAGCAGTAGTTAGACAATCCTTCAGCAGTTCAAAGCTCTCTTTATGCATTCAATTCTTCATGATCATGTTTTTTTTTTTTGAATGTTATTGTAATTTTTAAGTTTTATTTTTGTTTACCCAATAATGGAAGACAACCGATGATCATGTGTGATTTAGGTGCTCATTGGACATGTTTTCCTTTGGTGTGCTAGCTTCTTTAGGTGCTTGTGTTTGAGCTGACTTGGGTTTGTTGGTGGGCGGCTGAGCTGCTGCTTGGTTTTGGCTATTCGGTTCCTTTTCTCTTGCTTTCCCGGTTTCCCTTGTTTTGGCTGTTCGGTTCCTGCTCCATAGCTTTCCCAGTTCTCCTTGCTTTGATTGTTCGGTTCCTGCTCCCTGCCTTTCCCGGATCCCCTTGCTTTGGCTGTTGGTGTGGGGGTTCAACCATGCCTTAATGTTGTCTTTTTCTTCCCTTTTTGATTGGCTGTAGGGGGGGGGGGGGGGTTTTTTTTGGGGCGATTTTTTATGGATGTTGGCCTTCTTTTCTTTTCTACTTATAGGAAAGTTTTTGATGTAGGCAAGGGGGGGTCAAAACATTTTGAATTATAAATTTGGGAGCTTCTAGGTCCTCTACTAGAATCATCTCATTAATGTCTAGTAGAGAGCCTTTTTAGCTCTTAAATTGAGGTGCATTCCCCCATTTGCTGCCCCTTTGGTTTCCCCACTTAATGCCTCTTCTCCTTCCCTTTGCCTTCTCGGTTTCCCCTTGCTGGTTGGTTTCCCGTGCCCTGCCTTTTTGTCTCTTGTGCTGGCTTTTCGGGTCCCTTGTTGGCTGGTTTCCCGTGGACTGTTGCTTTGGCTCCTGTGCATGTATTCAAGCAGCTTGTGTTCCGCACATGCACACATCATGTTTATAAAGTGTGGTGTGAATGAGACTGAGATTAGTGAACCAAATCTTATCTTAGAAGGCTAATTGAAATTTTAGTTTTTGTTTGCGTTGCCAAATAATTGCTAATCAGATATGCAATTAATTTATTTACAATTTTCTTTTTTTTAAACGTACAGGACAGAGATGAGAGTGAGGAGAGCCTTAGAAAAAGGCTACCTATTGTTTCTTTCTCTATTGGTGATTCTGCAGAGTTCCTCTACTCTGATGTAAGGGATGTGGATAAAGCAGAGAGAGTAACGCTTGAATCTGGTGATGTGCTAATATTCGGTGGCGATGCAAGGCATATTTTCAATGGAGTTCGATGCATTAAACCCAATACAGCACCCAAGATCCTCATTGACAAAACAACAAAACTACGCCCGGGTTACCTAAATCTTACTTTTAGGCAGTACTAACAGGAAAAAAACCTCTCTTTTTGATTAAAATGCATCTTAAAATCGTTAAATTTGGTTTGGGATGAATCCAACACAGATCTTTTATGTAACAACAATCTCAAAACAAATCTAATGATTTCAAAATCCCTGCATCTCTTCTAGCCTTGTTCCATTGAAGTTAGTTTGTCCTGCCTTCTCTCACTTGATTTTTATTTTTAAGTTTTTCTTTGATTATTCAGGATGATATGTTATATAGTTTGGACACTTCTATTTGGCTTTTGATTTATTAATAGAAGATTTGTTTTATCTATTCTCTAAATTCATTATGCATTAGCCACAAAAGGTTATCTGTAATCAACTGGGAGCAGAAAGCAAATATTGCATTCTTTCCTAATGAAGCTTTTTTATAGCTTCTTCTCTAAAATCTCTATAGAATAATAATAAACGAAGAAGTCTTTTCTATTGCATATTTAGATATTAAGATTTGAGCATTTTAAGGGCATCAAATATTACTATCAGCCTCTTTGGTTATGTAAGCTCTTAATAAAGCTATTTAACATAGAAAAGTCATAAGATGGAGTTGTGTTATAATGAGATTCAAGCTAGACTAAAACACTTCTTGATTGATGATATATTGATTTACTCATCTATTGAAGGAGAAAAATATGCTCATCACTTGTAAGACTCATGCTGGATGATCATGCCACAATGAAGATATAAATGGATTTAGGAATTCCTTAATGAGTTGAATGTTGAAGTTTAGTTAGATGATTAGAGTATATGTGGATATGCAAGAAATTTGAAATCTATGCCAATGTGATGTGTAGTACTTGATTGATGAGCAAACATGAATCTTTAGCTATCAAACAAGCTAGATCTTTAAACACCATTGTCTCATATTGACCCTAGTACACATACTTAAGCACAAATCATGAAGTTTTTAATGGAAGATCAATAAGTAGGTATCATTATATACTTAGAGTTCATATCTCCACTCATAAAAGTGCAAAAATCAACCAATTAACTCAACTAATGTGTTTATAAGAGTAATGCAATGTAGTTTGAAACTTGCATTCTAGTTTACTTTCTCTAATAAATAGAAGATAAATGTCTAGGCCTACAAAAGGAGATCTTCCCTTGCAAGTGGCAATTCAGGTTCCTCATGAAATAAGCGATTTGTCACTCGTCACACAATAAGTCAACCATCAAGATCACTCGCTCTCATGTAGAGAAATTATCTCCACTCATGCTCACCAAGCGCAATTATCAGAAATCACATGTGACACCCCAAAATTAAATTTGGAAGAATTATCTATTTATCTTTTTAATTAATCAATCATAGCTTTAAAAAAAAAATCTGTATATCCAATGAAAACAAGTAATATTACACTATATTTATTCTTCCAAAATTAATATACAATAGCTAGAAGATAACTCTATTACTAATCTATCACAAACTCTGAGCTACAAAAAAGGAAAATATATAACAAAATCTAAAGAAAATCTGAGGATCTCTTTCAACCTCACTCCAACTAGTCCTGACCCCTTGCCTGATCTGAAATAAATTAAGCCACATATAATGAGCTAAAAAACTTAGTAGGAAAATCAAAATTCTATCACTCCTTTCAATGCAAGGCAAAATAATCAATAAATATATGTTCAGTTCTAGTCAATATCAATCATCATTTGATATGGGCAATAAATATCTCAAAAATCAATAATAAAATTAAAATGATCAGTGAAATCAAAAGAGATCTATCAAATAATAAGTCATACGGTAAAGAGTAGTATAACCCAATAAATCATGTCAGTATGCTATGCTATGTTGGATAAATATTAATATCAATATGAGCTATCAATCAGTTTAATATACTATCAGGTAAATATCATCATTTGTATAATTATCAAAAGCAAGGCATGATTTTCAGCTTTAATGGGTTGTTTTCAACATCTTTTCCCAATTTGTTTCTCAGTTGATATCAGTCATATTAATTATCATTTGTTCAATTAATCAACTATCATTACAGGTGTCTTTCAATAATCATTTAGAGTCGCCACCCTCTGCCTGCTTTAATGTGACGTAATTTGGTCAATCAGTTACATACTATAACTAGGATTACACGACTAACCTTTTATTTAAAAGAAAATCCGTCGGCTCACCATCCTGAGCAAGGTATTATATTTTAAGAGCCAACCCATTGGACGGAACGAGTGCCGGACAGGACTGGTTCGATACTTCGAGGGCCAGAGAAAAGTCGAGCCAAGGACTGACGAGACGCAAGCTTGCACGAATCTCAATGGACACTTCTCACCGACGCCGACTTCTGATGCCAACTCATAATAAACGAAGAGGAGGAAGAGAGAAAGATGGTTCCTGTTCTCTCACCCCATGTGATTTCCTTTTTCACTCAAATTGGGCGGGTTTACTTTACGCTTGAAATGAGCTATAGCAGGGAATTAGGAGTGCATTGGGATTTTAGTTTACTTTGTACTTTGTCCAACCAAACACTAAAAAGTAAAAAAAGTAGTGTATTTCTTTTACACTGCATTCATTTTTCCTCAAACCAAACAACTCTTAGATAAAAAAGTTGTCTAATAACAGATATGGCGAGAGTTTTTTGATCAATTTTAAATTATAGAAAGTTTTTCTATATGTCTTTTATGTATTAAAAAAAAAAATCTAATATTTATAAGTTTAGTTTCTATCATTTCTGATCATTGAATAATCAGATAATTGTGTGATTAAGTCATCACTCATTCATGTCGTTCATTCAAATGCACAGGAAATGTTAATCACTCAATAAATGTTGGCCAATGGATATGGTAAAGGTAAAACAAGCTTCCCCATGAAAAGTCTCCTCTCCTTTAGTCATACCCACAAACACATACCTTCTCAAAAATTTTACAAGAAAATAGGAACAAATACAAAACTACAATATAAAGAATGATTCCTCAACATTACAACAAGCAAATACAGAACTGCAATATATACAATAATCCTTACATACGAATACCCTTTTAAATATATAAATTACAGTGTGGATAGTAATCTCCTCCGTTCAACTTTCAAGCTCCATGATGAACAGTCCTCATGTGGGAGGATGCAGCAGATTTCTTCACATAAACCATGCGAAATATTACAATCAAAGCTGCAACAAAGGAATGATCACAGTTTGCGCTTATGGTTGCTCCAAATGCGTGCTTCAATTGCAAATTTAGTTTATGATTCTTTGTAAACTGCATTTTTCAGAGAAGTTTCGATCATCAGTAAACTTTGTTTAGCAAAGAGTTCCTCTGTTTTGAAAATTTTGGAAAGTTTGGTAAGGGCATCTCCAACCGAAAATCCCATTTTTCGCTCCAAAATGTAGCGAAACTAAAAAATGTCATGAATCATCTCAAATCGAACTCCATTCTGCTGGCTTCTGTGAAGGTAACGGTTTTTCTCCTCTTTTGCGCATTTCTTTGGCAAATCTAGTTGAGACAGAAAAATAGCGGAGGTGAACAGTGCAACGTCAATATTGGTGTCGCACTGTTCACCCGCAAACAAATAGCAGGAAGATTTGGCCTTCGGCTAGAGCGACCGAACGATGCCATAAGCATACTCGACGTTCGGTTGGAGATGCTCTTCCAGAAAGAGCAGATTACTGAGTTTGAATTACCTGAGCGACTACAAAGGACGAGTCTCCTTTGTAAATGGTGTAATTCTTCTTTCTGTAACTTCCTGTTACCCTAAAATCGTAAGTCTCCTCTTCTGTATTTCCCGCAAGCTAGACGAACCACTCATCATAAAACTGTAGAAAAGAACTCCTCTTGATGCTGAACACAAGATCTTTCGCCTCCATGCTGTCTCCCCTGAACGCCTACCACCTGCCGTGCCAGGTTATAAACTGAAGAAGAAGAAGAAGAAGAGACTGTGTGTGAGTCCATTAGAAGAGGATTGACAGCTAATTAACAATAAAGTTTTTACCTTTGGCTTCATGGTAAGTAAAGTATGTCCAGCAGCATCCCGGAGCTAGGTGAAACCGCCCAACCAGTAGTGTTTGGTTTTGAAGATGGTGTTTCCGGCGGCGTCGACGGTGGCGAGGTACCGTTTTTGTAGTGGTTTTGTTTTGAAGGCAAGATCAGTGGAGTAAGGCGCACAGAACGAAGGGTCGATGACTGCGCCTCGAGCTGGAATCCATGATGAAGAATTTGAATCTTTGTCTGGTTTATTTGTTTATGACTTTCTCTTATTAGAGTGGTGAAGAAGACGAGCTCATTGGTTACCCTTACGTTGAAGCTATAAGTTGGGGAAGGGCAAAACGCGGCGAGAACTTGACCAGTTTGTTTGATGCCGCGTTCTGTTGCTAGAACGAGATTATGAGAGATAGCTTCTTGGAATTGGTCTTGTTTTAGCTGTTTGACAACGTGTTAGATAAGAGATTATTAAAAAAACTCTTAGGAGTTATTGAATCCTGAAATAGCTTTGGCAATTATCATTGAAGCCTGTTGAAATATAAACACGTGCATGCATGGATTCTTTATATATTAATCTAACACACGCCATCATGAAAATACTAAACTTAATAAGCATCCAAAAAATTCAATTGATACACACAAATATCAAATTAATATTAAATTAGAAATTTCTATAATTAAATTACATGTGTGTAAGTTACAAAGATTGACCCATCAATTAACTTGTAGATTCTGAAATTATAATTAATAGTATGGAGAATTGGTCAAAGATCATATGAGTGTTCAAGGTTGAATGATTACGGGTTGTATGGTAATGCTTTGATGGGGGATGTCTGAATGCAATGGTTGACTGGCAAAGTTGGGCGACTATGGTAGTGAGACAGTGAAGGTGACGACAGTCGAGCATAGGTCTAGCAGCTGTTGGGTTAAAAAAAAAATCCAATGGTGTTGTTCGGTGAGAGGTTCAAAAAAGATGGTCAGCCTGTGAAGATAATGACGGTCAAGCAGATGTCTAACTACGTGGTTGGTCGTTCGGAGGTCCGATAAGGGCATTTGCATGGAGGTCAACAATAGTTTAAGGGTGGAGGTTTGTTATAGCAATTAGATGGAGGTTTGACAGAAATTGATCAATTGGAGGTTTAACGATTGCCGGCCAGGGAGAGGTCTGACGGAGGTCAGTCAAGAGGAAGTCTAGTAACGATTGGTCGTTGCTGATAGAGGTCTGATGATGAAGATTGTGTTGAGTCTAGTAATTAGGTTGTTAAGCCTA